GGTCCCTTGGTTTTTCTAGTTTCTCGCGTGTTTTCCTTTGACCCTTCCGGGACACCTTTAGTTGAAATAAAGTTTATTTTTCGTACTCCTGTGCGTATTGTCTCTGCTTCTGGGTCCAGCTTGTGTACTGAACTTCGGTTCATGACACTTTTATAAGTTTTTTCTATTTCTTTTCCATATGGGTTACAGTCACTGAAACAGCTGCCAGAGGTGGTGGCTTAAAAGTAAAAATCAATCACATTTCATTATCAGAAAAATATTTAGGTTCCTCGTTTGTGCACTAAAAAGCAACATCTGTTGTTCAAAAATCTTACTTTCCATTCCAATCCAAAAACCTCCACTAAAATAGGAAAATCCCTTTACAGGGCTTGACAATATAGAGCATTAAAGAACAAATGGCAACTAGATTAAGATCTCTGGAAAATTTTAGTGTAGCTGAAGGGTAATAATAATAATAATAATGATAATGATAAATGACTTTTATAATAATATAGGAACCCATTTAGAAAGAAAGAGCATTTCTGCTAGATTACATGGTCACATGTAAAATGTAAACTAGATCATTATTAAATTCATTAAAACCAACTTTTTCTTTTGTTTTCCTGTTTTTTCAGCTGTTGTTTTCCTAAACAGCATGGACTACCACAATTATTTAAATAATCAAAATTGCAACGATGGGCACAGCTATATACGTTTTTGAGCAATTCAACATCAATCTTTAATGAATGTGGAGGAGGCCATTTATCATTAATTTATTAAGCTTACATCATTAAATTGCAATCTAAATGCATATCTGTTTGCAGGCTGCAGGTATTAGCGATTCATTGCCATGTTCTCTGTTCCTGCATTAACTGATGAAACTGAATAGTCTGGCAGGTCTGCCAAGTTTTGCCATGTGTTAATTAAATTTTCTACTTCAGTCATTTGTACTTACACTTTCTATGTAGATTTTATGGTTTGTATGAACAACCTTTAAGCAAATATCTAATGTAATTTAAAAGACATGTTTTTACATTTATTTATATGTTTTATTTAACCCTTTCATGCATGAACTATGACAACCTCAATCTGGATTTTTTTTTTCTTGCGTATTTTTATTCATTTTTAGGCATGAAAAAATAATTTTGAACTTCATTTTTTTTTTTTCTTTTACACGTCCACCTAGGCAGACAACCACTTAGGTAGACAACCACTTAGGTAGACAACTGATGGTATGGAGTGACACATCATTGTCCAATGTAGTGGTTTATGTGCAAGTATACCATCAACACTGACAAAAATACAAGAAAACAGCCTTTGAATAGCTGTCCCCTGTAGTGACCACTATGCGTAAAAGGGCTTTATGAATAAAGTCGGCTTGGCTTATTTTCCTATGTATTCTAGTTTTTCTATCACAGCAGGCAAACCTCAAGTTAGCTAATAAAGAATGTCCACTACTCTCCTCCAATATAAATATGTGGAACTGTAAATAGGTCAACTTGGGGTCAATGGAAAGCCCCAAGTCTTACTAGTAGAAGAACTGGGAAGTACTCCCCTCATGTTATTAAAACCTAACACAAAAGACAAGGACTGAAAACAGTGACAATGACTAAACATAAAAGTAAGTCTCCAGTTGTTCAAAAGGTTTAGAGAAGCTATTCTATCAGCTGCCAGGGTTGAGTTACCCACAGAAAGTGATCCATGCATAAATGGACTGCCCCAAATACTAAATCCCAGTTACTAAAAGTAATGCGATACGCTAAGTAGCCTACATAGCCAAATGTAAGAACCCACAAGAGCACAAAGTAGAAGTTCTTACTGCCCAGCAGAGCACCTATGGCTGGAATTGTCAGCATAAGTGATCCAGATTCCCTAAGACCAAAATTTTGGATTTGACGTACATACTGAGGACGTCAAATCGGACTTTTATGGCATTACGTAGATGAGAATTCAAGCTTTTGTAGACTTTATAGTTATTGTATTATCTCTTTATAAGAGTGCAAAAACAATATTTCTTGGTGTGACCATCACATGTGTCAAAGGGCTGCAGCAACGGACCTCGCACACCCAAACGCAGATGCTCAAGGGAGGTAATGGGTTTAACACACATGCAAAACAAAGGGCAAAAGGCCAAGAACTAAACTAACTAAAACCAAGACTGGGAAAAACTCAACTAAGACCAAAGCACATGAATGTAGGAAAAATCTAAGAGCAGAAACACAGGGAGACGAGCAGATGACCTTACAATGGACGATGACACAATGGTCGTGTCCAAATT